TATTAAGTTACCTCATGCAGGGAAGCCGACAACTGCTTGGTGGTTGGACTTACTACTCATGGAGACTGGGGCTGTAGGATAATATCGATATCGCGATATATATCGATATTTTCTTTCCTAGAAAAAAATCGATATTCATCCGCAAGTATCGTAACATCCATGTCACCTTGCTCACTCACTGCTTGCTTCGCCGGGAGAGTAATTAGGTCATCAGGCTTAGAGTGATACCTTCAGATGTTAAGTGTCAAGGTTAAAAAGGTGTCAAACTATTCAGAGCAGGGTACTTGGTGCACTTTATTTACTTTATAAATCCATGTAAGCTACAGTTTGTACTGTTTCAATTAAAAGAAACATGTTTTCTCACCACTTCTTTGATTCTTTTTGTCCAGCTGTCGACTTTAAGTCTGTGTCCATGTCCAACCAGAGCCAGGTATCGTGTAGTTGGTGCTTTTAAACAGTTTTCAGTTAAATTAATTCAATCCAACTCTATATCACCAAAATCACTCTGTCCCTCTAAAATCTTTCAGAAAATCGCAAAAGTGTATTGAATTGTATTGTTTGATGAATATCGCAATATATATCATATCGTGGACAGAATATCGTGTATCGTATCATATCGTAAGATTACTGTATCACTACAGCCCTAGTGAACGGTGAAGAGATGAAGTTCATGTCCTGAAATCTCAGTTTGTTTCTGTACCTCTACAGAACATACAGAAACTGTGCAGTTAGAAATGCTTAATCTCACAATCCCTGGGTTCTTTAAGAAACTTTCGACAGTTTGATTAATCTGTGTAATTCTGCTGTCAGCGAAGCTTCACCCGGACTCTGTGAATGACGTTTTATCTTTTTTAGAGAGAAATTTGCCACCATCAAGTCTTTTCTATCCACTCTGGTCCCAGATCCCTTCGGCTCACACTTTGAACTGGTCACTGTCTGCTTTGTGAGAGAAATAAGTCTCGTTTGTGTTTCCCTTTAACAGTATTCTGTCACAAGGTTTTAAGGGCATTGTGAATACCACTGGGTCATGTATGTAAGATTTACTTAATTAACACATTCTTACGTCTGGCTGTCTGCTTTCTGCTGCCAGGCATGCTGTGATGCAACCTCTGATCAAGAACAATTTAGATTTTTCAATTTTTTCTAGTTTAAGACCTAATTTTTAAACTCTCTACCTAAACCTTTCAGTTTTAAGTTTTAAATCTCCGTCTGGATATTTTTGCTTAGTTTAGTTGTACAAAGTTCTTTAAATCTCCTGAGGGTAAATATATTTATCAATAACAACCAGAACTTTCCGTTTCTAGCAGTTATTTTCACAGTTAACGTCTGTTAAAACAGATTAATTGAAATTTCCGTAATAACCTGGTATTGGCTGGAAAGTGCAAGGTCTCCTCTTTGAGAAATTTTTGAGATATCTCTGGTACTGCAAATTTCTCTGCGTTGTCGGCGACACGTTTGGCCTAGAAGGGTTACTCATTGTGAATACACATTGACGTTTGTGTGTTGTAATGATCAAATGGCAAAAAGTTTAAAGATTGTAAATATGTTGCTGAGTGCTGTTTGTGTGCAGCATCCTGTGTGTCTCTGGCTTTAATGCACAACGCTTACAGAGGATAGCTGCTGTCCATGATGGAGAACTTGATTTTTGCTGTTACTTCTTCAGAAGAATCTAGAGTTTGTCCAAAAATATTTTTTTAACAGTTGCATCTAGTTCTCCAAACGCCCCATTAACCTCTAGAACCCTTAAAAATTGTCTTGCAATACAGCACAGTTTTAGACCAGACTATCAGTTAGATTCAATGTCAGCATCATGATGCATAAAATCCCCATCCTCCAAGAACAAACTGCAGGTATGCCTTGCTGTATTTTAAAATGCAAACTTCAAGTCACTTTGAGTGAGTTGTCA